ATTAGTTGTGTGGCAACTCCATTCGAAAAAATATCTAAAATACAGAGTAACACCTCAAAAATGTCAAGTTTCCATATGCATATGTGTGTATTTATATGTATTTTCTCTATAAATTTTTTGGGTCTATGGCATCTCTATTCAAAATATTCGAATTTTTTTCCATTATAAATAACATAGGTGTCCAATGATACTGTGACCCCATGAAAACCCAGTAAGATAGATAAAGTTTGGATTAAAATTACATGTTCTTGTCACAGACTTAGTTCTGTAGCGTAGCAAATGGGTCTTTTATTGAACAAGGGCAAGGCGAAATACATATCTCTTGTCATCAAACAAACAGTCGGCTCACTCGCGACTTGCCTCCCACGTATATAATCTCGTCTATCTTGGAACCAGCATTAACATCATAAACAAGCTTAGCCTTGAAATCCAATGCAGAATAAGTCTCGCCAACAGATGCTACTTTGGACTCAGTAGGCAAATGAGAAGTAAAATCCTCTCTCGACGAACAGTGACCAAATTCTACAAGTCAGTCATCATCACCGTCCTGATATATGCTGAAGAGGCATGGACGATGACAACATTTGTTGGGTGAGAGTTTTCAAGAGAAAAGCTGTAGCGAATGAGCTGTACAAGATCGACGCCGTTGACATAGGTCAGCGAATTAAGAGACGCATAGGCTGTTTAATTCATGTCGTCCGAATGAATGAAAATACTCCAGCTCCTAAAAGTATTCTACCTGGCGGTAGAGGTAGGAGAAGAGGATAACTTCCATTCTGTTGGAAATGCCAGATGAAGAAAGACCTGGCTACACTTTAAACTTTCAATAAGAGACAAACAGCGAGAAGGAAAAACGACTGACGCGCTGTTGTAAACTCGGCTATAATCGCAAAAGCGTTGTCTGCTGTAATAGAGAAGGAGAAGTTTCTGTCATAGGGGCTTGTACTCAGTATTCCGGTGGTCTGTACAAGGAGACTAATCCATATATCGGATCGGTCTTTCGGTTCAACAAGGAGAAATTAGGAACACGGTCTAAGCCTCTGAAGATCAATAAATATGTTTGAAACGAATCTGAAACGGAAACACGTACAGGGTTTCGATATCCAAGGAAGTTATTTATATTATAGTTACTAATACCCGACGCAATGTGAGAGACGCCTCAGCCAAAACTGCTACAAGTAATTAGGAATTTAATCAGCAAAATTAAATTTTGACCTAGTTTAGGGGATGTGGAACAGTTAAAATTAATTTTTCAAAAACTACAGGAACTGCAGGTATAAACTGAATCCTCGTTTTAGTAATGCCTCAAGCTTTACTTTAAGGTTTTATGATCAAAAACAACTTTCATGCGATTAAGTCGGGTTTTCACAATACCACTTAAATCAAGTTTAAAATCCAAACAGTCAATAATAAGAAAGAAATCTTGAAAATGGAGTTAAAATTTTGTCACAGTCATTGTGGAATCTGTATAATTCCATAGCTTCATAAATTGGAAATATAATACGATTGTGTACAACCCTGCTTGTGACCCTCTTTTTGGAAAATTTAAAACTAGTTTTAGTAGTAAACACCGAAAAAGCCAATTAACTCTATCTTGTAGTTAAAAAAAAAACATAGAAATATATTCATGTGTCGAGCTTTTGCCCTCCTTAAATATTTTCCCAGTGTACAACGCGTACCGGCGAAGGAATTCTCTTCAAGGGCTACTAAAGGTAGCGTGCAATTGCAATTTCGGCACGCTCCACGACGAAAAACCAACAGCTGAAGTACTATGGTCAAAACAAAATAAAGTAATAATCAACAATAAAATGTATGTGAAAGCAAAGGCGAAAAGAAATTGCAAAAAGAATGCTATAGTTGAACAGAGAATACAACCGAGACCGGTCAAGTGGACGCTTGCTTGCGATAATAACCACGAAAGTGGGTGTGAATGTTAGTAAAGTAAGTACAAGTACTTTTACAAAATGTAAGAACAAAAGAGCACAACAACAAAATATTCAAATTTTATTGATTTCGTGATTTTCGTGAACTGCTCCAGTTAAGGTTGGCTTGGCGTATACAGACTATTATATACATGCACTATATCATATTAGCCATATATAAATACACAATATACTTTCTTAGTTTCTGAATTTCTTTTAATTAACATCAATATTTGCAATGCTAAATAAAAAGTGGCCTCAAAACACGCCATAAAACATAAGCACGAAGAAAGATTGGAGCAAAAATACAAGAATGTGATTTGAGTTGAGTTGAATTCAGGAGCCCGCTGCTTGATATATGCGTACGAATTGAGTATAAAATTAGAGTAGGTTAACGGGGACCAACGACGAGGTCAACATACAGTTACATATGCCAGACGAAACTATATTTAAAACCGCACACACACATGAACTACATATCAATATTTATCGAGAAAAAGGTCTGCGTACTCACCTTGAACGCCTTGAACGACGACACCACATACGAAGCGCCATCTTCGAGCTCATCCAAATGATACTTGCGATCACCGTCCATCGAGAACACATAACGAGCGCCACGCGGCAAATCCATTTTCGGCGAAATCTTGTCCAACAAGCTATCCAACGAGGTAATGTCGCGACCGGGACGATAGCGTAACTCCACGCCCGGAAAGAAGGGATCGCCATTGCGATAGAAGACCACACGACGCGCTTTCCAGTACGAGAGATTATTGTAGCGACTAGCGGCGCTCATTGCGGAATTCAAATGCGCATTGGACGATAACTCTGGCCGGGATTTGGAGCGTACGAGTGGTACTACGGGCGGTTGCTCCGAATTCTCACTCATATTATCGATGTATGTGGGACTTAGAGCGCGACTTTGATGTCCGCTAGCCGGTGCGCCCACAATACCGTTACGTTGTTGCCAATAATCACCGATCGGTGCACCGCTTAAGCCACCAGTAGCGCCTTGAAGCTCGTAATCTTCATTATCACTGTCCTCCGCTTGACGTAAGTGATGCTGTTGTATGGGATGAAAGCTGGTCTCACGGTCCACACCACCACGTTGTTGTTGTTGACTTTTTAATGGACTGCCAGTGTTATCAAAACTATTAGCGTTGTTGTTGTTACTATAATGATTGTTCGGGCTGTGCTGATAGCCGTTCGATTTCGTATAATTAGTGTTGCTGTTGTTGTTATTGTTCGCTTCGTTAAACTGTTTGACCGCACCGTATGTTGAAACGCCACCTTCGAACTGTGCAGCAGAACTAATTTGTGCCGTTACGTTGCCATCGTCCATAGCTGTTGATGGCTGCTGCTGCTGCTGTTGCGACGGTGCTGTTGGCGGTGGCGATGACGTAGCCGCCGGCGCTGGTGAAGGTGCCGGCGTAGGTGCAGACTCGTTTGCCGAAACGCCGTTGGTCATAGCGGACGCCTCAGCAGCGCCGTCCCCAGCCTCGTTGGCGGACATTGCGTTTGAAGTTGTTTGACGAAATTAGGTGTTGTTGTAGTTGTAATCGTTTTTTTATGTACACCCACACGAACACAAAACTAAAGCGAAGTGTGTTCTAAAGCTCGTTCTAGTCTTTCTTTTAAGGTTGTTGTTTGTATGTGACTTTGTAAGTGTTAGTTCTAAGTTTTTCCTTCCACTCTCACTTTTTCACTAGGATCCTATGTAAAAAGCGATTATGCTCACTTTTTATTAAGTTTACCTTCACTCGCAAAATTTTACGCGCAGCAGTGAAAGTGATTATTCCTTTGCTCTCTGCTTAGCACTAATTATTATACTTTGTTTCTTATTGCTTCCTCTCTTTTTGCTAGCCGCTATTTCTCTCTCCTAGCTTTAGCTCTAGCAAAGTGAGGAAGTCTAATTCTTACAGGAAGCTGAGTTAAGAAATTCCTTAACTCACTTTTTACTGTTGTGTAGCCGAGGCGCTCTCTCGTGCTTAAGTGCGCGTAATCTATTTGCTGGCTTTTAAAGTTTATTTTTGTTTTTCTTATCCTTAGTATTTGCTATTTTGTGTAGTTTTTGTTTGCATGTGTGTTTTTGTTGCTGTTTAATTTCAGTTTTCACTTTCATAAGCAATCGTGTGTTTGGTGAGAGGCGTGAAAGCAGCACCTATGAGACCTTGTTGTGCGTTGAGAGCTTGTATTTATTGTTGTATGTAAGTGTCTTGTTGTTGCTGGATATTGCTAGCCAAGCCTTGGAGAAGAATCTCTTTGTTGATATTTTTTAAATTTTTTATTAAGTTTCTCATTTTTAAATTTTTTTTTAGTAATTTTTTATTTTATTTAATTTTTTAATCTATTTATTTTTATTTTACTTTTCTAATTTCTAATTTTTTATTTGTAATTTTTAAATTTTTTAAATTTGTATTTTGTATTGTATTTGCGTTAACTTCTCTGTTGCGCTGTTGCTGCTGGTTTTGTTCTTGCTTTATTTCACATTTTATTTCCGCTGGCTTCACACAGTTACATTGTTGCTTTTAGCCTACAGTTATTTTCCACCGTTTTATGTTTTTATTTTGCATTTTCACGTGTTCTTTTGTATTTCTCACAGCAACACTTTCACTTTGTTCCTGCGGCGATACAAATCGCTTGAGCTTACACACACATAATTGAAAGTTTACGAATGTATGTGTTATAATCAAGCTATAGGTGAATTGTGTTCTGTTGTGGGCTTCGGTAAGTTTTTAAATGCTTTTGAGCGCAAAACTCTAAAATACCTCGCTTTGTTTGAGTCAATTCTCGGTTTATTGCTTTGATTAAGTACACTTACGTCGACGTTGGTGTTAACGTTGACGGCGCAGTTGGCGTCGCTTTAGTTTTTTCTTGCTTATGCCAATTGAACTAAGTTTGAGTCTGAAATATTAGTATATGTCTAACAGAGTTGGATCTATCACAAAACTAAGCTAGATGGCGCTGTGAACTACTGTTATTCGAGTTAACCGTTATGTTTTGAAAACAGTATCTTCAATATTTCTTTTCCTTCTGCATATGTAAATATGTATATCCGTTAGTTAATGCAAAATAAAATTGTACATAAACAGAAATCATAAAAAGTGTGTTTTTGTTTACAAATAGACGAAAATGCAAAATAGAAGAGCACAATTTTCAAATTGTGTGTGAAGCACCCGGAAATTGTTATAAAATTTGTTAAGACTGTCCTTTTTTACTGTGAAAAATAAGGGCGCGTTGAAGTTGAAGATAAGCCTCGTTCTGGACGAAATTCGATTTTTTCAAGTGTTAAAAATTTTGAAAAAGTAAAGGATATAGTGCTTCAAATGGTTGGCAAGTGTTACAGAGATGGCAAGAGAGCTCGGCATCTCTCGTGAGTCAGTACGAATGATTCTGGTGGATATTTTGGGTATGAAATGTCTTGTTGTTCCTCACGTACCGTAAACAGGTCTGTTTAGATATGCTTGACCGTGCGAATTTCGATAACGATCTACTATTTCAAGCTAAATTTCTTTAGATCCCTTTCCACCTGTAATTATATTTTCGAAATGTGATCTTGAGTTTGGGTTACTTTCACTTTGCTACTTGATTATGTTTTCGTCGCTCTTTAAATCTCACGCTTATTAAACCTCTCTTTCCCACTCCTGCTTTCTCTCTCTCTCTTCTTTCTCTATATATCTTTTAGCTCTTATTTAACACCTCTTTCGGTCTCTCTCTAGTTCTTTCTTCTCTTCCTTCTTCGCGAGTTATCTGTAAAAATATTGACTTCGAGTGTTGAAGGCCGAATTTTGGTGGCAACAACCTACTTTGTAAAGAGAAAAGCTTTTAAGCTGAAGTTATCTGGAGAAGGATGTTAACTAAATATATAATATAATATTATAATTATCGCTTTGATTGAAACCGAATTCATTAAAAGTTCACTTAAACGACTAGATACACCTATTAGGGGTTAAGCTATTGAGAGAAGAACATGAATTGTCCTTTTAAACAAAAGTAAAAGGATAATTTTTCAGGCTAACAAAAAATTTATGAGACCAGTTATACCTTTCACACCTCCGACATTGTCGAAATATAAATGTTTGTGGCAAGTAAAATAATCATACTGCGCTAATGTTATAATCATAATCGCCCACGATAGTCTAACACTGTTGACATACCAGTTTTTAGCTCTAATTTTGGAGAAATTTTGGGGCAATATCACACTTCCAATTCTGTTTCTAAACTGTCAGCATACTTTATAATAATATATAAATTTCCCTATTTTCATACTCTCTCAAAAAAGTTCCTCCTTAAAAATATTCTCTTTGAGTATGTCGAGTTGTTATCGGCGCTTGATTACAAATTATTCTTTGATACTGAAACCAAGTTGCCATAATCGAGGCACTGATGATAATCGTTAAACCCGAAGTAGTATATGCTTAACTACGCCCATTCGCTTACTGAAAGCATTGGCGAGCGAATTAGTTACAAGAACTATACTGAAATTACAGCTCTTATATTAGAATATAGTGTATAGTATAGTAGAAGCTGAATAATTAGGAAAGAGTATTCTGGAGTAATTTAGATCTCGTGTAAATTTTTTTAGGCATGTTACCTTCACACTCGAATAGGGTGGAGCCGAAAAGCATATCAATCTAAAACTGTAGATAAGAGTGTAAAATTTACGCTCTTATAAAGCTAAAAGCTAAGGGTTTGTGGAAAACACCTTCAAACATATTTTTTTTCTTCCGTTGGCGACGGTCTTACATGCAGGCAGGGTATATTCTTATTCAAATAATTCGATTTGTATGAAATTCAAATAAAAGATATATATGTTCGAAAAAAATCAAGTTATAGGAAGGCTGACAATCAACAGACTGATGAACATAGAATAGTATATGTTCTAATAATGTTCGCAACATTCTGAGATGTTTGAAGGAGCTTGCTGTTTTATTTCTGATAAAAAGAAAACAATTTCTTTTTCGATAACTAGAAGGGTTTCTGACAAAGTAAATCACCGTGCAACGTTTCTTTGATATTAAAGTATGACTCGGCGTCGAAATTTACTTATATTACAAAAAACATTTTCTGTTAATTTCGATTCATCGTCCGTCGGAATATTAACTCTCAATTAACAAGCTATCACTCACGATTTCAACTGATTCGGCTTTACCGATTATAGTTTGGTGGAAAAAAATACACTTTAGTTGGAAGGATCATGCTTTAGTAGGGCTATGAAATTCTAAAATAATTGTAACCCTTAATTGAACATAGCACTTTTATCTTGAAGCCTTGAAATTTTATTATAATACTCGTATTTACGACTTTATATCTGCTAATTTTTTCAAATGAGTTTTTCATTATTTTTTCTCATCAAGCTACGAATACATTTGGTAAACACTATGATGGACTAGAATTCAGAAGCCTTTTTTGTTTTGTATGTCTTGTGTATTCCTTCTATATTGAATTGTATAAGTGGGCGTTATACCACTAGAAAAAATGCATAAAGTCGAGCAATGTTCGCTTAATGAAGCTGCTCCTTTACTCAAACTAATCTCACCACGTAATTATGTTGTTATTATTGTTGTGCAGACAAAATGGCACAAACTCATACCAAACATTTGATTGCAAATTGCAGATATGCACACCCACTTTTCACGCTTACACTTCCGAGTACCGTTAGCTTCCTTACTCACACGCCGTACTCAGTTCCAGAGGGTTTTCTACACTTTTTGCACACTTCACATAAATAACGGGTTAATGACACTTGATAAACAGTGCTACAGGCAGAGTTTAAATTTCGAAATTATTAATGAAAATATTTTTCCTGAAGTTTATAATATTTGTGCACTAAAGTGTTCGTTAAGTTTCATGCTGGCGAAAGAAATAGCAGCAAATAGTTTTAATTAATTCAACCCAGAAATGACTCCTGTTGTTGTTGTTTTGTGCTGTAACGTAAATTTAAATCCGAAAATAGTTTGCATAAAAAAATTACGCACTGCACTTTTATGAGTTTCACGCGTCCGAGTTTGACGGGCCGCTTTCAACTTGTGTGGCGTCTACTGACTTTGCCGGTCGAAATGATTTTGAAACTGTACGCCTAGCACGCTTGGGCCTGTTGGTTGTTGGCCTGCACCCAGACACTCAGTCGGTCGGCCGGTTGGGCGGTTAGTCGGCTCATTTGGCGGCTTGCTTAGAATGCAGAGCTCGAGCGACTTGCAAAGTTGGTAGCCGTAAATGAGACCTGCCAAGTCAGGTTGAAGTTTCATGCCTCTTTGTGGGTGCAAATGGTGGCCAGGTGGCCAAAGTGGAGCGCGGAAGAAATTTGGCCTGCTAACTAGTTGATTGTGGGCTGGTAGCACCAGTGGCGTGATTAAGGTTTGCGACGCGCGGTGTGCTGTTTTTGTTGTGAAATAAGGATTACTATGTATGTGTGTGTTGTTGTTACAGGCTTGGTGTTCTTTGTTTTTTGTTTTTGCTTTGTTTCGTTTTGCGCGCCATCTACGAAGTGCGCCACCACCTCAACGGTCGCAG